GTGAACAGGATTTTTGTTGGAACTTGTGAATGTATTTACCTGAAGTCAGAGTTGAGTGTGTGCAACATACTCCAGTCTTTGTTTCACAGCAATACCCTTGAATATATTCATCTTTTAACTCAGGTAAACACTGTTTCTTCAAAAGACTAATTCTGATTGCAGCCTTCGGATGGCAGATATTTAAATACCCCCTCCCCGCTGCCAAAAGGCACCTATTTGGCATTTACACACATTGAATGTCACATCTACTTTGGACCTAAGAGTACATGGGTGTTGCATGCTTTCTGAACTCATATCCTGTGGGAAGGCGATTGCAGGTTCAGGGCAGTATTCAAGGGCAGGCCCATAGGAAGCACATTATTGCAGTAGTCATTGCAAGACGTTACCGTATTTTTCCGACTCTAAGATGCCCCCATGTATAGGAAGCCCCCCACTTTTACCAATCTCTGAGTGAGCAAGCTGCTGCTGCCCCACGTGCCCGTCACCTCCCCACCTCCACGCACACCTGCGCCTGCACCAGTTTCGCCCCATCGCGTCTGTGCCCCCACCCATGCCCGCATCCATCTCCCCCCCCTCCCCCCCCGCCCCTCCCCCCCCGAATTCACCCGCCACCCCCTGAGCATGCCTGTGATCGCACCAGTCTCCTCCCCCCCACCAAGCGCACCTGTGGTTCTCCTCTCGGCCCCCCGTGTATAAGATGCCCCTCCATTTTTTGGTAAATATTTTAAAGAAAAAGTATTATACATGGAAAAGTATGGTAAAAAAGTATGGCAATAAAGAACCAGTTCTGTGAAGAAGTGTCATTTCTCTCATCACAGTACAAAATCAACAACTGCACCTCCCATAGAAAAAGGAGATCACCCAATATTATACTAATTTATAATGGCATTAAAATACTAGTGTGGTAGCAAGACTTCTGGTCCTGGATCTACAGATTAAAGCAACAAAGCCAAACAATGCTGAGTATGATCAGCACAAAGATGACACTGCCTCCATGTCTCCAGACAATCTCAGGGGATTTCATATGAATATTTTTTCATGTTGGGGACAGAATGGGACTCTGAGGCATCTTAGAGAATGTCCCATGGGGAAAGAAAGGGCTGGAACAGTCAAGATACTTGCTCATTTCATTCCTTGTGACATCATTTGAGGTTACATCTGATTTAATAAAAGGCAGTAGAAGGAAACATTCTAAAACTCAAGTTTAGTGGCTTTCCAAAGTATTTTCTGACATAGGTATGTAGTTCTTCCTCTGTTAATCTCTGTAAGTCTAGTAGGAAGCCTAGTAACAGTTAACTAGCTTTTTATACCAGAAAAAAACAAAGTTACACAATATTATTACATTACATTTACACAATGCAAATCTTCCTCTTGCAAGGAACCCAAAGTTGCTCGCAAGCTTCTCTTCCTCTCCATTTTATCCACACATCAAGCCTGTGATGTAGGTTAAGCCAAGAAGCAGTGACTGGCTAAAATCACCCAGTGGGCATCATGGTTTGAGTGGGGACTAGAACCCCAATATGCCAGATCCCCAGCCAGATCACCACAAAGATGACACTCTAACACTTTATACATACAGAGAACACACACACACAGTGGCAGCTGTACAGGGGTGTGGTGTTGCTTTAGCCTACTGCAGGCTGTATAGCATCACTCTGTTTCCCCCCTGCTGTGCCTGGAAAGCTACAATGAAAGAGACTTGGCTGATATTGCTGCTTCCAGCTCCAACTGAGTAGACGCTGCATGTGGTGCCCCTTTGGACTGTGTGGCACTCCATGCACAGCTTTGTGCATGACACAATTCGGGTTTGCCCCAGGAAGAAAAGCCATGGTTTATATTGTACATATGTGGACTGAGCATACAATATTGTTGTTCTGCTCTCCTAAAACAATCCCAAAGCTGCTGGTGAGTAGCCTCTGGTGACAGATACCCCCTCTGTCCCTTGCATCTGTATGTATGCAGTGCTAAGCTGTAGCTGCAGAAGAGAACAAACACAACAGATCTGACATTTAAAACATGCATATGACATGGTTCAGTCACAGATATGGAATAAGCACAACATGCTTGGAAGGCAGAGAGCGATTTTTTAAAAACAAATTCACAAATAAAATATGCGTAAGTCCTAGTGATTTCATTGGTCTCCAGTTAAGATCAATGGCTTTTTCAAATACTTAACTTGCTTGGAGTGGCTAATAGTCAATGAGGGAAAAAATCTAAATAGGCTTACTTGGAATGAAGCCACAACTGGACCTAATGGGACTTGCTTCTGAGTAAAAAAGCATACAATAGTTGCACATATTGATTTGACTGACATCTTAAGTCCAAAGTAATGACTGGAATTCCTTTTAGCAGCTCTTCCTAGGTGAGAAATCATTATGTAACTCTTTAGTGCCCTCCTATGGTCTATTTCAGTAATATGACACCAACAAGGAATCTTATTTCTTCCATCAGGGAACAAACACAACCTCTCCTCCTTCCAAGAAATAGTATGAGTTATGAAGTATGCAAAAAAGTGTTTGGGGGCATGTGGTTGTGGCTTTTAGATTCTAGTATCCATGTAGAGAACATTGGCTAATGCTGCAGCATCCGTTCTTTTAATAATTTTCCCTAGATTATTTTCTGAGATTAAACAAGAATCTGTAAGTCAATTATCCACAGTATTTCTGCAACATACCTGGCTCCATTTAACTATTTTTACAGCATCACATTTGCACAGAGTTTTACATACATCTAAAAAGGCCAACATTCTTCGTGAAGACTACGCGAGATGAGCCACCAAGTCACCATTGCAACTCTGGAGAAGATACTGGTGCTCAGTGGTATTGCTAGGTACTTAAAAGATTTAGAGCTTAGGCCCATAAGAAGTAAATCTGCATAAAAATTGCATGTAGTGATTTATATCTATATATGCAATATCAAATATGCAAATTTAGAATCACTTGGGTTTAAATTTAACTGGAAGAAATGTCAGCCCATTTATTTTTCATCCAAATCATCTCACATAAGGTAAGCTTAGGGAAAAATGATACTTCCCATTGAACCAAAGGGGGGGAAATCTTCTAAATATCACTGTTGTGCATGCAAAGTTTTTAAATATTTTGTTTCATTTTGTTTTTGAGGGAAGAGTATTTCAGCATGTGAGGAATGGAGGCTTCCTCTCATCCTTTCCACGCCAACTGCAGTCCCCTATGAAAATTGGCTCCTGCATCTCAAGCTGAGGCACACCTTCCACTGGCATGAATCAGGGCCAGGTCTGCATGTGCCCAAGCCTAGTGCTCTTCCGCTAGATGCTTTGCCTTGCCCTGGCTGCAAATAGTGTGTGGTGTTGCTGGTGGCTGGTCCCCTTCCACAGCACCAATTAGTTCTCCTGACTCTAAATGTGAGGATTTCTTGGCCAAGCAAAGCAACTAATACAGCTTCTAAAGCATACAAAGAGATGTGGTGCCAAAATATGCATTCCTCATGTATATGTCATATCATTATACATATCATTTTATTACCGGTTGTGCAATTTTCCAGTACATTTAACCCTAGAAACAACCAGCGTCTGGTTGGAGGGATCCGTCTTGAACTTTGAAATCTGTAAACCAGAATCCAGATATTACTCTTTATAATAAGGGGATTCACATAAAAAAAGAGCTTACAATATTCATAGTACCCACTTCATCACTAACATGAATCAATTAAGCATGACTGCTCCAGCCAACTCACTTCAATACATTAACCGCCTGAGAGGTATAAGCATGAATATCAAATAGTTTTACTGGGATCCTAGACAAATGGTATAATAATGCTACAATCTCTATTGCAAGGAAACAAATTTAAGTCACAATCTTTTCCTGTAAATCTCCCCAAAATAAATTATGCCTCCTCCTACTTCTTAATATAAAAATGGATATTGTCAAAGTTAAATCGTATCTTGGAGATGCTGTATCATGAAAATACAGGGCATACAGTGGTCCTTTATGGAAGTGGGCTTTAGTAAAATAAATAGGTCAAGATTTGTACACCCCTCTTATTATCCAATCATTCTTTCAGAGAGGCAGGATAAAGCAAGAGCTTCTGTAAATGTATATGCTTTTAAAACTGTGCAGTAAATTTAAGATTAGAATAATTAAGATTAGGGCTGATTTAGTCCTATTGACGTCATCTGGCTGAACTGGATTTTTACTGCACCTCATGAACTGCCTTGTCCATTTAAATCACAGGTCCACCAGTCTGCATTAACAGCAGTTTGGTCAGTTGGTGGGAGCATGAGTTCAGTGGAAAGGATGGCACACAGAGGGACTTATCCCCACAGAATCCTCCCCATTTAAGCTATGTGCCTAACCCACCCTAGCTGATTGGTGCTGGGGGATAAAACAATGTGATCCCAGTATAGAAAGGGGAAGTTTAAACCTCATCCTTGTGCACCAACATGGGGAGAGAATGCGTATGACACATGGCATTGAAATGGTGAGGGGTAAAGTTTGTCTGTGGAGAAAGGGTACTCACGTGTGCATGATACTGAATGGAAGGCTGTTTAGAATACAGGTGCTAGCACTGAAATGGGAAGGAAAAGTTTATTTTTACTACTTACATTTATCTACTTATACCTACTTTTGGATTCAAGTTGCTGTGAAACATTTTCAGCCAATGAAAGCAAAGCGATGAGTAGTTTGTTTAGTTCTCTCCAGCTAACCAAATATCCCATTTTTATAAGGCTTTTGATTAGAAATAACCCGAAGCACATCATAAATATCAAGTAATAAAATTCCTACTTTTCAAAATATAAAAATATATTTATCAAGCTTTATTTTATTACACGTTTTGCATTTTTGGTCCTTTGTAAACTTTTAATTGTACATTATACAATTTGCATTGGCAGTACAGCCATATTCCAAAACAAAACATTCACAGTATTTGCCAAATTATTATTAACTTGAACACACCATTAAGTTCCTAACAACCAGAAAATTAAATGGGGCATGGGAACGTCTGACTATGTGGATTACAAACTATTGCTTAGGATATTTAACTATAAAAATAGTACTTATTTAGGTAAAAAACCTGGAGTATCTTTCAGGATTGTCTTATTCTTGGTGCACGATGATGTATGCTTTGATATGAAATGCTGACATCATTAATAATGCATGCACCATATAAAATTTGTGGACAACTCTAGATATTCACTGTAACATATAAATTTTAAAAAGGATTATTTGATAGAAAAATATTCAATTACTATATAATTTCTTATATATTCAGTATCAGTATGTATCATAAATGCCTTTAAACTACAATCCTCTGAAACACTTATGAATCAAACATTAGTTAAGGCTGAAACCACTTTAGTGTACAGCAATGCAGAGTTCTACAATATCACACATTACAACCATCTTTTTTGGCACAAGACAGTCTGGGATGCTTCTCAAACTTCACTAGAGGCCCCTAAGGAGACTTGCATTACGGTGGGCATCTAAAGCCATCTGATCAAAGGAATTGTGGTTTATCAGATCTCTCACTTTATCTCTAAGGTCATAAGATGCTCTGGCTATTCTCCTAGATTCTTCAATAGCTGCATCCTTCTGTCTTAGGATCTGACTGCTTTTCTGATCTTTCCTCCTTAAAGCTTCTTGCATTTCACGTAAATGGCATTTATCATCATAATCAAGTTTTTGCTTGCGGCAATGGTGGTTCCTCTCCTTGGTGCAGTTAATTTCCCTCATACGTTGAGCTCTGTCTTGGATATTTTTGGACATGATTTCTCTGGCCTGCTGGATCTTCATCTCCGCTATCTGCAGCAACATCTCCTTACGCCTTCTCTTCTCTTCCTCTGTCTCTTTTGCTCTTACCTTGGCGATCATGCCTTGTTCCTCTTCTCTGAAAGTCTTTTCTTTTAGTTCTCTATTCCTTTCTTCAAGCAGCTGCTCAAGGATTTCCTGAGATCTCTGAAGCTTTTGTTCAATGCAAAGCCTCTTGTACAGCTCATCTGCTTTGAGTCTCTCATCTGTTTGGTCCTTCATCTGCATGTGCCTACTTCTCTTGTATTCATTCATTTCCATCTTCCTTCTCTTCCTTTCCATATCTTTCAACAGCCTCTTCTCCAGGGCCTGCAACATTTTTTCTTTGTACAGATGGGAGTTGTTATCTCTAGCAGTCCTCTCATTTAACCTTTTGTCCCAGACTTGCTTTTCCTGAGAATGTTTCCTATATTCACCTTGAAGTTTGGCATTTTCCAATTTCTCCCTCTGCCTATACTCCTGCTCTTTGGCTAGTTTTTTCCATTTCCTGTCACGCAGCATCATATCCCTTTCCCTGGCTGCCAGGAGCTGTTGCTCCTCTAACCTGAGCTTATTTTTTCTTTGGTCCCGGTCTCTTTGCCACTGGTCCAGGCTGTCAGCCAGCTGGTACTGCCTCTCCTTCTCCATCCTGGCTTTGTGTTTCTTTTCCTTCCTCCTCATCTGCTCCCAAGCCTCAGAGGCCTGCAACTGCCTGTCCTTCATCTCTTCCTCCTCCTGGTGCCTGGCTAGCATCAAAGCTGCAATCTTTTTGTCCCTTTCCGGGATCAAATCCTCGTATCTCTTGTCAGTCAAATCCTGGAGACTGATCTGGGTGTCTCCCTTCCTGGACTTGTGGTGATGGCGGTGATGGGCACTCTGGCCGGGGTGGAGATACACAGGTGGCTCCTCTTCCTCGTACTGCTTCAAGGAGTGCACGAGATCCGCTAAGCTGGGGCTGCTGTCGCAGGGCTCCGGCCACTCCCTCCTTTTGCGCTCATTCTTCTCCGGCTTGGGGGAAGCTTTATTGTCCAGCTGGGAGAAGGAAAAGGAAGAGGGGCAGACAGAGGGGGGCTTGCTGGCGTCGGTGGCGAAGTCTGCGCCATACTCCAGAGGCCGAGACACTGGGCTGGCCCACTGGTCGTCGCGGAGCAGCTCCTCGACGCGGGTACAGCGGCCCACCAGGGAGCGGCCGGGGGGCTCGGGGTGGCCGTGGAAGTCCCCGCCGTAGAGGGTGGTACACGAGGTGGTGCACGGCGTGGCGCAGCCCTCGCCCGCCGGGGCCAGGTGCTGCTGCTGCCAGGCGGAGAGGCGGCGCGGGTGGGCGGCGGCGGCGGCCGGCTTGCTGTAGTGCGGCGACGAGGAGTCCCTGCTCTTGCCCTTGCGCGGCAGCAGCACCCCGCCTTCGTCGCGGCACATCCGCGACAGCGTGGGGCGCCGCAGGCCGCCCTCGCCGCCGGCCGCCTCGGGCTCCGAGCTGTAGGCATCCGGATAGCCTCGCGGCGGCGAGAAACGGCCGGGGCTTCTTCGCCGCGCCATCTCCTGCTGGGTCTCGGCGCCGGACAGGCTGCAGCAGGACGCGGCGGGAGGCTTCTTCTTGCCCTTGTTGGTACTGGGAGCGCCTCGGTCGCTCGGGGAGACGCGGCTCCCGGCCTCCGCCCCGAGACACTGGCCCGAACCGCGCCGCGGCCGACGCCGCTGCTGCTGCCGCCGCATGGCCGAAGTGGCCTGCCCGGCTGCCCACGCAGCCTCTTGCGCGGCACACTGAGGGCCCGCGCGCGTCACAGTGGGGAGGGGGGAGGGAGGGTGCCGCCGCCGCCGCCGCCGGGCAACACGGCGCCCCTTCCCGGGCCCGCTTCCAGGTCGGCTGCCCCCGCTCTCTCCGCACGATGCCAGCCGACCCCTTGCTTTGCCGCCGAGCTGCCCGTCGCCTTCACGCCGCATGCGACGGGCCCTGTTGAAGTGATGAGCCCATTTCTCTTCTTGCCCCCATTTTGAATGAGTGCACCGCACTAAGCATGTGTTGGTGTGCAGGCCACACGTGCACCCTTTTTCTTACCGCCCTGCCTACCCCGCATCGGGAAGGAAGGAAGGAAGGAAGAAAAGAACAACCAAACAAATAATGGTGGTTAGGGTGAAACTGGTATGTGGGGTGCAGACCACACTCTAGAGGAGGAAGAGAATATGGTCTCGGAGCCATTTCAAAAGTATTGAATTTAGCAGTTGTTGTAGCATATTACGTGGCTGAGACTAAAAAGCACCTGGAATCAAGCTTATAAATCGAGTGGCTGAACTCCTTTTCTTAAATGAATGCCTAGGTTCTTCAGGTCTGTTTGTTAGGAACACAGGTCATACCATCTTGAAACCTGTGCTTTTTCCTGTGTATTTGTATGTGTGCAGTGCTTTGGAGTCCAGACACAGATTCTGGGGCTAAGAACTGGAGAGCCTGGATGGATAATCATGCATAAGCTGAACTTTTAATGCCATATACACGAAGTAAAATTATTACGCACTTGTTATGTATGCTGGCACAAATGCTGGTATGGATCATTTTCACCCAGATACATGAAAGAAGAAAGTTGGGCAAGATCACCTATTTAGCATTCTATGCTGTAGGCTGTTTACAAGGTTTAAAGGATACTAGGTTTTAATCTTGAGTTTGCTCCTTTAAGGAAGGATTCCTAAATGATGTGTATGACAGCACAGAATAAACAGGTTGACTTCATTCCTTCAGCTGCTGTACATACCAAAAGGTTAGAGTCTGTCAGCAAAAAAAGATAGTCATGGCACCTTAAAGATTAAAAATGCAATGCTGTGCCCATTTTCTTGGGAGTAAGCCCAGCTGAACTCAGTGGAACAAATCTAAACATGAATCAGTCAAATTGATATATTCCATAATAAAACTTTACTCAGACTCGGTGCCCACAAGTCAGAAGGCATTGTGTACCTGTTCCATATTTTCTTCCTTAATAGATTTTCCATGGCAAGAAAAAAAAAATGGATAACATGTTAAGCAGAATGACCGCTTAACAGTTATCATTTTTTTAAATGTTCAGAAAGAAGACACCAAGTTATCATTACAAGCTACTTATCCAGGGAAAAGTTGATATTCTATCAGACTGGTATCATTCTACTGCTGGGGGTATTTTCAGTTTTACAACTGAATCCCAACATAATGTTTTCTATGCATTACCTGAATCTGGAAAATGGTCTCATTATTAATTTTAATAATTATGATATGCTATAATGAGAGATTATAATTCTTTAAGTAATCAAATTTACAGAGCTGGGCTAAAGGATATAAACTCATTAAAGGCATTTGAATAAGGGGTGCTTCCAGGTGATGTTTTTATTCTGTAATTTCCCAACCTTATTCATAGAAATGTATTGAGGGATCCTACTGTTTTACATTTTTAATCCCCCACTGTTCTCCCACTGCTTTTCTCAATTTTTAAAATTATTTTGCACAAAACAATTCACTGTGGAGGAAAAAGATAGCATAGCTGCACAATGTCTTCTGATTGGTAGTGCTGGGAACCCTTCATTGGAGGCGCCCAATGTGTCTGTCTCCTTCACAAGATGATGCAAACACAAGCACCAATGACTGTAGTCCTGTGAAATCTGCAAATAAATAACTTGTGAAATGCTTTGAACAATAGATGCTTGAGACACTAAATAAGTGGGATTTAGGATACACTCATCATCTGATTCCAAATGATCACAATAAGAAGAAGCAACAGAAGAAAATTAATTACTATATGTAAGAGTGCGTGGTCCAGTTCCTCAGAAACTCATGGCAACATAATTTATAATGGAATTACAAGTGGATAAGATGATGATTAACCAAGTGGCAAGTTGACATGATGTACTTGGTGGCCACTTAATGAACTGGCTGTGCAGCTGGTGCACAGCCGCTTCACAGGGCAGTTTGGTTGCTGCTGCTGCTGCTGGTATGTGCGCATAAACTACAACCAAGGAATGGCAATTGCTTGTGTTTTTTTCCTCACAGAATCCATATCTCAGAATTATATACGCTTGTGCAAATGTAATTTTCACCTTGAAAGGATTTACAGAAGACAATGATACCTCAAGGGTAAAAGAGCTCACCTCGGGCTAGTTTGGCCATCTGTAATGGACTGCTAAGAACCATACTGCCAAGTGAAAAGTGGATGATACAAATGCCTATAACATTGCAAGCTGTACATGCCTACCTTGAAATGTTACCACTTGGTAAATTCGAATATGCATGCATTCTTATCCTAGCCAAAGAGGTGAATGGACCCTTCAGATGTATCTAGATAGGGACTTGGATTAGCTCAGTGATAGTAGAATGTTTTGCACTATAAAGGTACAGATTTAATTCCCAGCATCTCCTGGCAGGGATGGAAAATCTACTTCAAACTGTGGAGTCCCTGTGACAGTGTTGGCAATACTGAACTAGATGGTTTGACTCATTATAAGGCAGCTTCCTATATTCCTATTATTATTGTTACCACATCAATATCTCACCTTTTCCCTCATTCAAGGATCCTAAGTAAATTGATATAGTCCCCCTCATTTTATCCTCACAACAATCCTGTGAGGTAGGTTAGATGAAGACTTGGCAAGTGCCCCAAAGTCCTGGCCCAAAGTCTTACAAGACCTAATCCAACACTGTTACTACTACAGTATACTGGCTTCCTTATTCTCTCTCTCTCTCTCTCTCTCTCTCTCTCTCTCTCTCTCTCTGTGTGTGTGTGTGTGTGTGTGTGTGTGTGTGTGTGTGTTCTTTACACAAAATGGTCTCTTCCCAGTTAGTATGGCATTACTTTTGATTTTAACACAATTGAACAGTGTGTAGAAGACTCTCTCTTCAATCATGCTATGAAATACAGGAGTACTGTATAGATGAATTGCATGTAATGGGTCCAATCAAACCAAAAATCATCCCCAAATTTATATACTTTGTATCTATCTATAATAAACTGTCAGTAGATGATCATGTTAACTGAATTGTTTTTTCTGTAACAATTGGAAATCCACCCCCGTAAAGAAGGAGCCAGATGCAAGATGAAGACAAGAAGAACAGAAATCTGTAACAGAAACCCTCACCCTAATTTCTTAGCTCATCCTCAAACAAATTTGCAACTGAATCAGACATTCCCTAGCAACCTTTCTTTATGACACTATTTCATAGTGTCCGTTATTTCATTCCACTCAAGAGACTTCATCATCTTTTTCCTTGCTGTAATTAAGACAACGATGAGAGCAAATTGGTACTCTGAGGATCTGCCAATAAAAATCAATGGTGGGCAAAAGTTTGTGATTTATCTTATATGGGGAAAAATAGAATCTATGGAAACCGTGGTACTTCTTTGTAATATGGTTAAAAACTTACTTTTGTGAATTTGGGAATAATATGGATAGGCTTTCTGCACTGCACTCATTTTGGTTGCATTAAGGGAACTGTCTTTGCTGCACACCAGTGACTCTTGTCAATTCATTATTTCACACTGAATTGGATTGTAGGAAGCCACACTTACTGTTTATGAGACATTTATGTGTGTCTCTCTCCGCCCCTCTTTCTTTTATCTAGCAGGGTTTACCTTTTCATGTATTTTATTTCGGAAGTCTAGTTTCCACTCAGTAATGTTTCCTTTCTCTTTTGCATTTTGCGTGTTAATATTTGTATTGAAAATTATAAGAAAATGGGGAAGAAATTTCTTCCTGCATTGTAAGAAATATTCTATTGAGAGTCCAGTAGAGAGCACTAAGGGGCCATCAAAAGAACATGAGCCCAGGAACTACATTGAGATCAAACAGAAGGGGAAATTACCACATTCTCATTTCTCCAACATGGAAATTTGACTTAAAGCACATCAGGATATCTTGTGGTGCATTATGCACTGTAAGACGTTTCTATAAGTTTATTATGTTGACACTACCAATTTTTACTGTTGTGATAGAATGTCATTCTGAGAAAAATTATTGTAAGAGTTTGCATAAGACATTAAAATGGGTTCTATTTGGGGAAAGGCACTTGTTTTTAAGTACTCCAGTGCTGAAAGAGGAAAGGTTTTGGTGTATGGTGGCTTTGGATCATCTTTCATTTCTTTGTCAACCATTTCCATGGTAGAAGACCAAAGTCAACTGTCATCTGGGCAACTGTAGTCTGTGAGGTTTGTGTACATTACAATTGTATTTTTTACAAATTAAGAATATCCTGATATACCTTCAAGCACAGATAAAGCACAAATAAAAACAAGTAGAAGAAAGTGTTAAGATATACCATCTAGACTAATACCCAAACAAGTGATTAAATATCCCTAAGAGGTATTTATTTCACTTCTTGTAAGTCAGCAAAATTCAAGTATGTGAGGAGAAGGAATTCATTTTATCAGGGCCTGAGTAGTTAGGTTTAATTACACGTTTTAAAAACCTATTTTTCAGTATCCCCGTATGTAGCTGCTAAATTTTTAGGAGATTTGCTGTAACCAATCTGACTGCCTCTTAAAGAAGAGCAAGCAATATCACTAATGAACTTGGCAGCTCAAAACTGT